GCTGGGAATACAGGAATGTGTCTTGGCGTGTTTGCAGACCTCTTCGGGGTGGTAGTACGGCAGTCCATGGTAGAATCGACAAAAAATCTAAAACTATGAGAGTCAGTCTAAGAAAATCTTGTATGCAAAATCAGCTGGGTTTAGGACTTGCTCTGCTCTGGTTCTCTTTTATCCCCCTCCTTTTTCCTTTGCTGATGGGAATGTGTAACCTACATCAGTGTGTGCTGGGAACATTTAGCTTTGCTTTGATTTCAACTCGTGCTTTCAGCTGAGTTCTCCTTGAGTCTGAGAGGAGGCTTCATAGCCCAGCACCAAAGCAATAGCATTCTCCTTGGGACAGAGTCTCAAAGAAAAAACAAAAATGAAAATGCAAAAGGGACACCAGGTATAGTGAAGTGTGAATACCTTGATTTCAAGCGCTAGTTGGAAATATAAATAAATACACACTTTGAGAAATTGCTGCACATAACCAGCAGCTCGCAGAGACACAGGCAGCCCCAGCGAGCGCACTGACGTCACGAATGAGAAGTGCAGGCTCGGACAGCTCCTTGCCGCGGCCTTACATGGGGCCTGCCTGCGGGGACACACATTTAGGAAAACACTGCTCTCATCTTGCTCTGAATCTGCTCCGTTCTGCATACTGCCCGGTAAGCACAAAAGCCATAATGCTGCCTCTTTCCACACTTATTTGGATTTCATCCAGCTGTTCTGAGCTTCCGTCATCTCTTTGTACAACCAGCATGACTGTGAAGTGGTCTCTGGACTGGTGAGTAGGTGAGCAAATGCCTACACAGGGCTGAGATGATGCTCACTGACACTAAAGGCCCAACAAGTGCGTGTCCTGCTTAGAGCTCTCTGGTTAGTAGAATCATCATGCTTCTGGAATTTGAAGAAATTCTGATGGCAATTTAGGTAGCCTACCCTTCCAGAGCGAAAGGATTTGGTCATATTATAAGTGAAAAGCCCAGGAAAAATTTTAGGATATTTCACCATGGCATTATGAGGTGTGGCTAGTGGATTTCATTCCAGTATGTACAATTCTGTCACGGAACACAGCTGAAGTCCAGAAGGAGATGTTTTTGATCTTAGAAGATTGATCCTCAAACTAGAATTTTTTTCTTTAAATTTCTAAATAATAGTTGCACAAGTATATGAACACACTCTATGCTTTAATACATATGCACCTTGTGTAATAACCAAATTGAATTATATCCTTCATCTCAAGTAATTTTTTTTTATTTTTATAGTGATTTTTTTTTTGGTGGAACTGAGGATTGAACTCAGGCCCTTGTGCTTGCCAGGGAACAGCTTATTCCACTGAGCCATCTCCCTGGCCCCACTCAAGTAATTTTTTGTGACAAGATCACTAAACCTGTCCTCCTGGCTGTCTAAACATGTATACAGAGCATGACTAACTATGCTTGCCTTACTGTACACTAGACCATCAAATTAGGGCAATTTCAAAACAAATTTGCTGATAATATTCCAAGGGGATTAATTATTTTTGAGTTTTCAATAACATAGATTTCAGTTCAAAGTTTTTTGGTGGATATGCTAATAAGAATAGCATTTATTTCTTATTTCCCAGGAGTTTAATTTACAGTATAAAGTCTCTATCTATTTTGCATCTCAGTTTTCCAGAAAGAAATAATGTTTTCTGAGTCTATCCAACAGAACTAGATTCTGGTTACTTGGAAATGAGTAGTTTTTCTTTTTCTAAAGCAAAATTATATTACAGGTATGTCTAGCTCATTTGATCTATAATTAGAGAACCGTGGTAGGAATTCTTATCCTATGCACTTACTTTTAAAAACGTTTCTGCCTTTTATTTGGGGGGTTGTTGGTAAGAAATTAGAACTATTTCCCCATCATTCAAGCAGTGTATAAAGTATGTATGTATGTGATATGGTTTGTGTCTAGGTGTCCCCCCAAAGCCTCAAGCAGTCATGGGGTGGGTTCCAGAGTTTGTAATCAATTGATGATCCAGTTCTGAGATTATGGGCCTGAGTGCTACACCACCTGGGGTGGTCAATCCGCATACAATGTAAGGAGGGAGAGACGCCTGCTAGCTGCCCGGCTGCTGCTCCTCCTTCTGCTGCCAGGAGCTACTGCCCTCTGCCATGTGCCGCTCTGCCTTGGGGCCAGCCCAGTAGGGACTGAAACCTCCACTAACTGTGAGCTAAATTAACCTTCCCTTCCCTAATTTTGGGTGCTGGGTATTTTATCTCAGCAAAGAGAGATGAGTAACTAAGACAGTATGAAAATTACAGAAAAGTAAACAATAGCCAGTTTTCCTGTGTGCTTCTGTGTCTCTGCCTGCATCTGTCTGTCTGTCTGTCTGTCTGTCTGTCTGTCTGTCTGTCCCTCTGCCACACCAACCTTCTACACGAGGTCTATAACTTACCATGAAAGCTGAGTTGCCTGTTGCCATCATCTTCTTAGTCCTGAGGGCTGAGCTGTGAGCCTGCAGTGTTCAGAGCGTGTGCCCTGCTCTGCTCAGCAAAGGCGAACGCGCCTGCATGCGCTTTGGATGGTCTGCAGGTGTGTCTCTTATGGTTTAAAAGAGCAGTGTTTTCTTTCTTCCAGGCAAACATCTTTGGTTTTGTTGCTGTTAGTGTTTGTTTTTAGTTCTCTGATGAAAGAACCATGACTTTAGCAGAGAAATTTATGACATTCCTTTAAAATTTGTTCCCAATAAGGAGAAAACACCAGGCTGATTTTCTTGTCCACACTGTCGTCACCCAGTTTTTACTCTAGAGTGTTAGAGGAGTCGTGTGCCTTCTCCTTCTGCTACACAGAAAGAGCATATGAATTAAAATACTGAATTTGTGTTTAGTTTTGAGACAGGGCCCACTGAGCATATGTATTAAAATGCCACATCGTGCCCAGATGCCACTCAGTTATTTAGCCATTCAGAGAAAAGAAAAAAAAATACCCTGATTTGAAAATCAATCTTATAAAACCAAGTACAGGCCACTTTTAAACTCATTCTGCTTCAAACTGACAAGGCTCAAACTGACTCTGCTCCTGCTTCGGCATCCCAAGAGCTGGGATTAGGGAGGTGTGGCCTGGTGCTGGCAGATTATTAGATTCCTTTTATTTTATTTTATTTATTTATTTGGAAGAACTGGGGATTGAACTCAGGCCCTTGCACTTACCAGGCAAGCGCTTGTTCTACTGACCTATCCCCCCAGCCCCTTACATTTCCTTTAAATCCCTTTCTTAAGGAAAAATCTCAGGTAATGGTTTCCATTTACATGAAATACAGGACTTAGCCACTTTCCCTAGTAACTTTTGAGAGAGTTAGAATGGTACGACTTATCCGTTTGTGAAAAATGTAAAAATGTGCCTGTCAGCACTGTAACCAATGTCGTTGGTGACATCCGCGCTGACACGCAGTCTCCAGTCTCCATACACTCTCTCGCTCACACCTGTGTGTGCGCATCCTACGCTTACCGGTATGTGCGTTTCAGGTTAATCCTTTTCAAAACACAATTTAAGGTACATGATGGTTTTCTCCCCTGAGTGGGATAAGCCACTGTTTCTCAATTCATCTACTTTTAGCTGTAATTTTTATTGATTATGACATACACAAACAGTAGCATATCCCTGATAACATAGTTATTCATATGTGTACAATATATTCAAGTTTATTACATTATATTACTAATAAGATATCTAAATAAAAATATTTATATTGTTGTAGTGTTAAAACTTTGAATCCATGTGGCCTAATTCCTTTTTTTTTTTTTTTTTTTTTTTTTTTTTGTTTTTTGTTTTATGTATTTAGGACAGGGTACCAACTACACAGCTCGGACTCATAGTGATCCTCCTGTTTTTAGCCACCCAGCACTGGGATTACAAGCATGAGTCACCCCACCCAGACCCGTTCGTAGGCTCAGTGTGCCCCAGGGGTGGGGCCGCTGTGGCATGCAGGACCAAGAATGGAGCCCTGGTCCTTGGGCTTAGCAAAGCAGGTGCTTAGTCCGCTGAGCTATCCTCCTGTACCCCTGTTGCCTTTTTTCACAAACTGTATTCAAATGTTCCATATTTCTGGGTCATGACAGGCCATTGGTGAACCTTTTAGAGGCCAAGAGTTCAAACTGCAGCCCAAAACCTATTTACCACAAAGCGCCAACATCTCAATTGGACTGGAACACTGTGCTTTTAGTTTAGAAGACACAGCTCATGTAACCCACGGACGGAATCATCACAGAGAGGGCTGTGTGTGCTCACAGTGGCCTGCACACTGTAGGTTCTCCACCACTGTCACAGGCCTCTCTAGTCACCATTAGTGAACTGTAATAAATGTGTTAGGTTGACAACTGAAAACAATTATGGATGTGAGTATACGTTTCAAATCTTTGTTTCTACACTGAACAATTCTAAATTTAGACAGTCTTAAGAAACCATTAAATACAAAGAAATTCCTTCACAGTCCCCAATGATGGGGCTGACAAGAACACGTCTTATCAAATTATGTTGCTGATCAATTGAGCAGCAGGAGCAGCAGCTAAGTGGTTTCCACTGTGCAGAGGTACAGTGGCTGCCACACTCCTTGTGTATAACAAGATAACATTTTTATAGGATAGGACTTAAGTTCCATGCCCTTAAAGCAAGTCATTTTCTCAATGTCAAAGTCCATTGCATCACTTAAGTCTACAGATAGCTTAACTGTACTGTAGTAGTGAGTGAATAAGAACTGCTTAAGGTCATTGTTGATGCTTAAATTAAGTTTAACCTGTGTGACTCACTGACATACATATTTTGAGTTATTCTGAAAGTTGTTTAATATTTTGAAACTTGAGTTTCCATTACACAGCATATATATATATATATATATATATATATATATATATATATATATAGTATATGTATGATTGTCATCAATTTTATATTCTCCTGAAGTTGAAATAAGCCTGCTTTTTTTCTCTCTTGTTTCCTCCCAGAAGTAACGCAGAGTTTCTCAGTTGTTTTTGCTGACCTGACTGGTAGTGGAAATGGAGGAAGAGAACTGCACCATGGTGACAGAGTTCATTCTCCTCGGGCTATCAGAGGTCCCTGAGCTGAGACTTGTCCTCTTCCTGGTGTTCCTGCTCATCTATGGCGTCACCGTCCTGGCCAACCTGGGCATGATGGCACTGATTCAGGTCAGCTCCCCACTGCACACCCCCATGTACTTCTTCCTCAGCCACTTGGCCTTTGTAGATTTCTGCTACTCCTCCGTCATCGTGCCAAAGATGCTGGCTAACATCTTCAACAACAACAAAACCATCTCCTTCCCAGCGTGCAGGATACAATTCTTTTTGTTTTGCACGTGTGTGGTCACTGAGGTCTTCCTACTGGCTGTGATGGCCTATGACCGCTTTGTGGCCATCTGCAGCCCGCTGCTGTACACGGTCATCATGTCCCGGAAGCTCTGTGTGATGCTGGTTGCCTGCTGTTACCTCTATGCATCTGTGTGTTCTCTGATTCACCTGTGCTTAGCCCTTGAGATCCCGTCCTACAGGTCCGATGTGATCAACCACTTCTTCTGCGACCTGCCCCCGCTCTTAAGTCTTGCTTGCTCTGATGTCACTGTGAATGAAGTGGTCCTGTTCACTGTGGTAAATTTCAGTGAGATCCTTACCATTGTGATCATCCTCACCTCCTACTTGTTCATTCTCGTCACCATCCTGAGGATGCGCTCGGCAGAGGGAAGGCGCAAAGCGTTCTCCACCTGCGCCTCCCACCTGACAGCCATCACCGTCTTCCATGGAACGATCCTCTTCATCTATTGTCAGCCCCCTTCTGGCAACGATGTGGATGTTGACAAGGCGGCCACAGTGTTCTACACGGTGGTGATCCCCATGCTGAACCCTCTGATCTACAGCCTGAGGAACAAGGATGTGAAAGACGCTCTCAGGAAAGTGCTGAGCACTAAGATGCTCTCCTCGAAAAGGTACAATTAAAAGACTTCAGTCATTATAAAATCATCTTATAAAAAAAGAATTTAGCGTTTCAAAGGGAAGATAGTATCTGTGTGTGTGTGCGTGCTTGTGTGTGTGTGTGCGCGTGTGCATGTGTTCGTGTGTGTGTGTGTGTGTGTGTGTGTGCGTGTGTGTAGGATGGGGAGGTGGCATGAACAGCAAGCAGCTGTGCTCGGAAGGGGAAGTCTTTCCTGATTCATCTTCCTGCGCCTTCAACTTACAAAGGTAGGAATGAGTGTCTTCTTCAAAATCTGGAAACCAATTTTTTCAACCTGTCATGTTTTAAATCGATGTGCATAAGAGCGGTTAAGATTCAGAAATTTAATTTATTGCAAGCTTTCAAACCATTAATGGAGGACTCACAATAATCATGGCACTGATTAATCTTAAAGAAAATTAAATACTTATAAAAAATGAATTTTTGGTATTTTACAGTGAAGAACATTCAAAAGTCTAGCAGAAATCGGCAGTACAATTATCCAAATTATCCTGCTGGTCCTTTGAAAGGAGAAGTTAATGTTTAATTTTTTTTCCTTTTTACCCTTTATTTCTTTTTCTTTTTAATTTCTTATAACTTTTTTATTCATTTTAATGAGAAAACAGGTAAAATAGCAAGGACACGATTTCAAAGCAGGTTAGCAGGACAGTTACAGTAGTTAATGCATTGCACATTGTTGTCTTCGTAGTAGTTATTCAGCGGACAAGATGCAGACATGATATGTTGTCTAAACTTTTTGATGTCTTCTTTTAACCAATTTGGCATGTTTATACCTGCTAACCTAGACAACTAATTTGAAGATAACGTCATACAATACAGCAACCATTGTTGGATTTAAAAAGAAATCCTGCACACAGCATAGAGATTCCAGGTTTGTGTGTGTGCTATACATTGCTTTTTTCCTTTAGTGTTTTGGGAGTTGATGCAACACAGAGTGTTTTCAGAAGACCACATGCC